ATTTCAGAAGTAGGTTCAGACTCTTGATTGATGATAAGCTATTATTTGGATGGTATGAAGTTTCCTTGGTTGTTTAAACCCAGCAAACTGTGGTTAATGAGGTCTTAGCAGATATACAACCCAGATGGTGACTTGGTTTACTCATTGCACAAAACTTGTACAATGTTGACATCATTATGGCTGTGTTCACACAACATGCTTGGGCATAGACTTTTGGTTCTGGAGCATAATTATTGGTCTTAGATAAAACACTAAGCCAAAATCAAATAACCATGTTTTGTTTTTACAAAAATGCTGGTGCAGCCTTGCAAATGGTCCTGGTTTATTTGTCCATCATGACTCCATTTAGCTCTAGCCAACATGGAGAGGAATGTAGTCCAAAATGTCCAGAAGGCATTTAATTAGCGAAAGCTATTGTAAAATAAGGCCAAAATAGCTCAGACATCAATATGTTTATGAAAGTTGTAGAGATAAGCAGTACAAATGAAGAACTACCAGCTCCTTCACTTTTGATTATATGGAACTGGGGTGATCACAAATTGAGGGCTGTGGCAGTCTCCAATAGTGGAATTTTTTTTCACCTGTTTTGTCTTTGTTTTTAAAGGATGCACTGAAGGTTGGGTGGACTGAAGAAGCTTCTTGGATGAAAAGTGAAACATCAAGGAAAAATCAAGAAAGTCCAGTTGCCTTTTGAAAGAACACATTTGAAACAACCGTGAAACAATTGAGAATCACTATAGCCGAATGTATAGGGCTGCATCTTCAGACATTTGCATCCTTAATAACAAAACAAAAATCTCACAGAACTTTAAAAACAAATTTATTAGGGCAAAGGCTTCTTTTAACACCATGGACAATATGGACAATGTAACAACACGGACTATCCATGACATGCAGCCCTTCAAATGATTATACACTTTCCTGACAAGCTAGATTTACTGCCGACAGCCAAAGCTTCAGTTGGTTGCCGACATCTGTCAAAAACAATTTATTTCATTTGTTGTTAAATCCTGGAATTGAAGCATGTTTTTCTATTTCAGCTTCATTTATAAAATCAGAACTAGTTTCTTTTAGTTTTCTCCTAAGTATAAAAAACAAAAAGATTTGCTGTATTTGGTTGACTTTAATTGGAAAAGGTGCTCTAGGTTGAAGACTCAATTACAAATCTCTTGCTGCCCTCTGCTGGACCGAGTTGTCATTCATGTTACTGGAAGAAAAAGATGCAATAGCTATTTTTTGTGTGTTCCCTCTGCAAATCCAAGAACGTGAAGAGTGGTTGAACATTTGAATTTTACTAACCCTTGACCTTGCAGCTGTGGTGAGCTATAATTTCCAGCACCCGGAGCCAGAATGAACTATAGTGACTTGTTGGGAACTGTAGTTTATTAATAACCAGAGAGTCAGAAGTGTTTTTTTCCTCTCCTTCCATTCAATTGTGTTCATTCCTGGAGACTTACCTGAACAATTCCATGTAGTTTTCTTGCAAAGTTTTTCAGAAGTAGTTTGCCATTACCTTCTTCCTAGGGCTTAAAAAATTGGTTGGCCTGAGGTCACTCAGATGGGGTTTTGTTCCAAACTCAAATATTCCTAGTTTCTAGTGATGCCTTAACCGCTACACCAAACTAGCTCTTATTCAGCCTAAAATATAAATGATTACCACCAAGAAACTTTTTAAACCTTCACATGTCTGACTTTACAGTGTTCACTCGTGTGTGCTCTGGTTTTCCAAACAAACACACCTAGGATTAACGTGTGAAAGTTAAAATGTCTACACCACATGCTGTATAAATCAGGGCCAGCTTGAAATATTAGATCAGAAAATCTCTCTTTCAATAAAAGGCACAGTTGCAGAGTAATCTAGAGCACTGGTTCACAGGAGAATAAAAAGCCTTCCCAGTAAAAACACACTCACTTTTTTTCTATCTTTCACCCACCCTTGAAATCATTGCCTTCTTCAAAAGAACAGGACACCTGATGACCGTAGATGTTTCTGAACTACACGGCATAGATCCTTCCCCAATTAGCTATGCCAGTTGAGATTCCCGGGAATTGCAGTTTAATAGCACCTGGGAAGTCATAGCTTTCCAACTGGGTGCAGAGAAACTTGCATGAAACGGCAAGCAGATGAGGCTCATCCTGACAATAATAGAGCTAGACTCTGGCAAACAGAGATTAACTTGTAAGCCAAGTGTGTTTTAAGCAGACACTTTCATTCATGCTACTGATTCTAAGTAAACAAGAGGAAGTAAAGTTACTCAGCTCTGTGGAGGGGGAATTTAAAGCTACAGGCCTCTAACACCTGGGGTGTGGCTCCACATCTTAGAACAGATAAAAGGTGGAGCATAAAATCCATTTGCATAAAGTTTTCAAGTTTTTAGTGCTCCGTTAATTCTGTAAGTAGCTTGCTATGGCTGATACATTGCGAAGTGTGTGGTTTTCTAAAATGCTGGATGTATGTTTGTTGTAGCTTGGTTTGTGTTTGGTGTCAATCCCGTCCAAAGAAGTTATTCTATGAGATAATACTAGGAGAATGTATTCAATGCACAATTTGGTGAAGAACTATGATTATATTTGTGTTTGGATTTGTTTAGCAATTCACGCCCTGTGTATGTTAAGAGTGACAGCATACATACAATTAACATCCTAAACTCATACTTGCTTAGGTTTAAAAGTGTCTTATTTTTCTGTACTGTGTGCCTAGACCTTAAGTAACTTTCTGTAAGATTTTGCTTGGTCTCAGCTGTGTTCATATGACATACTGAATCCATACTGAACATTTCCAATTAGTGTATATTGGAGAAACCCAGTTTCTGCACAGTTCGTAGTTCAGTGTGCGGTGTGAATCTAGAAAAAGGAGTTGAATACACTAAACGTTTAGTTGTAGGTTGTCATGCAAAATACAGAACATGATAGATTTTCTTCTTTTTTTGCACTTTTGCTGCAGTCTCCTTTAAGGAGGATTTTTTTTTTTTAAATTCTCCTCTGAAAACAGTTTAGAAAATAACCAGGCTGTGAAAAATAAGGTGAAAACTTTATCTCTGTAACTATGATATCCCTTTTATTTCAAAATATGGTAATATTCTACTAATAACCAAAATATAACCAAAATATTGGTTATTAGTAGAATATTAAGTATATGTCTAGTCACTTTAAGACACTCCTGTTCTTGTCAGTGCTACTCACTATTATAGTCTTGCAATACATTTAATTGGATTATTTGATTACCTCATTACTGAATTAACACAGCACCAGGATCACATAATATGCTTTGGTAGATGAAATCAGGCTGCATTTGGACAATATGTTAAGCTGGATTAGTGCTAATTTTGTGTAAGTGTGTGATTGTATCTTGACATGTTCTAAGTACTCAGTTATTTGATTCACAGTTCAGGGTGTTTTGAGAACCCATAAAGTGGGTGAATTCAGTACCATGCTTAATGGCATAGTGTGATTAGGTAACAAACTGATTCTTAAATATATGAACAGGATTGGTTTTGCACAACTTTCTGTCTCCCAGAAAGCCAAGTTTAAAACTAGAGCTGTTCAGCATTTTGTCTGAATGCAGCTACTAATCAACTGTGTAAACAGTTGTGATCCTTACTATACCCTTTTAAGATACACACTACTTTTAAGGTAGCAATTAGAAGCATTCAGTTTCTACTCCTCTGGTATTGATGTCTGTTTATGAATTAAAACAAGCAAGCAAACATCTAGTTAAAAGTGGTAGGGAGACACAGACTAGATTCATACTGATACAATGTGGTTTGCTGATTCTGGCTTAGAAACCCTTTGAATCCATTCATTGTCACAGAGAACATTTTCTGCTTTTATCCACTGTGATGAAGGCACCAAAGAATGGCTTATTGATGAACCAGGTTATACGAACCATGGTTCTTTGCCTCCAGATGACTTTCCTACAGCCAAGCTTTCCAATTTCACACAGGAGATGATGCAAGTGCATACTAGGGTCTTTAATTGTCAGCTCTCAGCCAGCGCTGCAGATTCACAATTACAATTTGCCAGTTGTTGGTCAAGCAATCATTGTGTAGCTATTAGGCAACAACCGGGAGGCTCACCACTCAATTTCTCACCACAAACCCAAACCCAAAGTAAATTGCAAAAACTCCTGCCTGCTTTCCCTTGGTGGCATACCTCCTGCCAAGTCAATTCTGTATGATAACCCCTTCACAGAGCCATGCCATCCATCCCCAGTGGGAGGCTGGTGAACTGGGCATTCTCTCCAGCAGCTGCAGAAACTGTCCTAAGAAAGTCTATTTTTGAGCAAGACAAGTTGTTTCCAAATGGAAGATTCCTATTAGCCTAAACCTCGGGCTATATAGCAGAAGACAGAAATGTCCTGGTAAGTGTCCAACAATGGCATTAATGGAATCACCAGAAGGCCCAGTGCCTTTTCTAAGTGGACTTGAATCTACATCTGATAATGTTTTGAATGCAGCATGTGAAGCTGATATTATAATACAGCTATTATTCTGCAAGAAGAATAAGCAGACCTGAAAATGGATTGAGTCTGCCTAATACATTGAAAATACGTGCTACGGATATGCAAAGCAGTGTTGCTCTGATGAGGCCCTCTCTCTTCCCGGTGGCTTGGGTGAGGGTCAGTCTGCCTCAATCAGCCTGTCACTTTGGTGAATAAGGCTTTTGAGCAAGCCAGGGACCTACTTTGCTCAAACTTCAAAGCATTTTGAAGAGGCACTTCAATCAAAGTCTTCAAAGATCTGTACACACTATTATTTGCACAAAAGAGCTTGGGGAATGAATAGGGTAAAAGTTGATAACATTAATTGACCTGTTTCTCTCCAGATATGTTGAGACTACAATTCTTTAAATTCTCCTGGATTTCTAAAAGCCGGACCTTCGACCTATCTGGAGGGCAACAGATTGGGAAAAACTCATCATGTTCTGATATTTTCAAATCTTCTCCTCCTCCTTCTCCTTGACATTGTTGGCCATTCTTATTCCAGATTCACCTAAACAAGATGGCCTCATTTTCCTCAAATTCAGATTCATCTTCTAATGAAGGAAATCATGTGTCTGTGTTTTGGGGTAAGATGTGTTGGGGGGCTAGTAAAATAAACATCCTTTTATTATTAAATCTTGGGTCTTTTTTTTAACGAATTGAGATTATTGGTAACCAAGCTGTTAGATTAGACTGGTCAAATCCCTTCCTGACTAATATCCATTTGGAGCATCTCAAATCATTGTAGATTACACTGTAGTAATGCAGCAAACAAATGCTGGTGAGTGCAATTTCTCACCTCTTCCCCCCCCAAAGAGATAAAGTAGATTGAATAATTTCATAATATCTCATATCTCCCTGTGGCAATTTGCAGAATTGTAAGAAATCTGGAAGACTGCAGAATATTGGAGAGAGATGTCCAATTACTGACTTCAGTCATCTCTTAACTAAGATGGAGGGCAAAACTCCATCTCTTAAAAAGAAGGGTTTCATGATTTTTTTTCTCTTCCTTTTTTGCGTGAGTGGGGGAAGAAAGAGGGGGAATCCACCAGATTGAGTAAAAAAAACTCAGGAAAACACGCAAAATACATTTTTAGCTTAGCTCAGGTATATAGCTTTTGGCAAATGTTATCCTTTTCTATTTTTTCTTTCTTTCTTTTTTTCTGTTTTCCATATGATTTACTGGTATTTCTGTATAGGTTGTGAATTGAATGCCACCACCCGGAGATGTGTCGTGAAAGAAGATGATGACTTATTAGAACACTTGGTATATTTGAGGACGGTGAGTTTCAGTAGAAAAGAATCTCTGTAGGTCAAGGTTGAAGTTGGTGCCCTCTGAGCTTGGATGTTTGCTTACAGCCATTTCATTACCTGACTAGGTAACGTCATCAGTGTTAATACCGTAGCTCTGGGATCAGATAAGCCCCCAAGTGGCCTCAAGAGCTCTCAAGAAGAGTACTAAGACCAGATGACAGCAAAGAAATATGATCCTTCCAACTCCCCCACCCCAATCCTGTCAGAACTAATCTCTCCACAGCCCCCACCATCCTACCAGAACCGATGAAGCTTCTTGGATGTCTATGGAGATTTTCAGTCTTCCAGTTCATTGTTGACCCAAAGGTGCTTTTTGAAAAGAACTGAAGAAGCTTCTTGGATGAGAAGCGAAAGGTCTTCAAGGAAAAGTAAATAAAGTCCAGTTGCCTTTTGAAAACACACCTTTGGGACTAGCTTCTTGGATGAGAAGTAAAACATCTTCCTTGAGAAAAAAACAGTCTGGTTGCCTTTTGAAAGAGCACTTTTGGGATAGCTAACCCTTGGATGACTGAGAATCTACCCAGTGACTGTGTTTTTTTTTTCTTCCTGTTTACATATGGATAATAAAAACAGCTGCAAGGAAGCAAGCTTGGAGAGCATCAAGATTTCCAACAGTAACTTTCCAATACTGATGCAACCTCTAGACATAATTGTTCACATTTTTTTGGAAAGCATTCTTTTTCATAAACTAATGTTGGGGAATATGTGCCCTTCTAGATTTTCATAGATACTAGTTCCTACCCTCTCTAACCAACATAGCCAATTGCCAAAAATGATGGGAGCTACAATCCAACAATGTTTGTGGGTGGCCCTACAATGCCTTAAACAATACCTCTGTTTAAAATGTTCCTTGTTCTACACATTCTGGAGAAGGGTATAGGCGCAGATGTTCAGGAAGGTTTGTGAAGGCTTTAGATCAGGGGTCTTCAAACTTGGCCTTTTTATGACTTGTGGACTTCAACTCCCAAAATTCCTCAGCCAGGCAGTTGAGTACAAAGAAGAGCAACAAAGATGATTAGGGGACTGGAGGCTAAAACATATAAGGAACAGTTGCTGGAATTGGGTATGTCTAGTTTAACGAAGAGATGGACAAGGAGGGACAATGATAGCAGTGTTCCAATATCTCAGGGGCTGCCCCAAAGAAGAGGGAGTCAAGCTATTCTCCAAGGCGCCTGAAAGCAGGACGAGAAGCAATGGATGGAAACTGATCAAGGAGAGAAGCAACTTAGAACTAAGGAGAAACTTCCTGACAGTTAGAGCAATTAACCAGTGGAATAACCTGCCTCCAGAAGCGGTGAATGCTCCAACACTGGAAGTTTTTAAGAAGAGACTGGACAGCCATTTGTCTGAAATGGTGTAGGGTTCCTGCCTGAGCAGGGGGTTGGACTCCAAGGTCTCTTCCAACTTTATTATTATTATTATTATTATTATTATTATTATTATTATTATTATTAAGTCCACAAGTCATAAAAGGGCCAAGTTTGAAGACCCCTGCTTTAGATTCAGCCCTGTATGAAGGTCAGTAAAGGATTCTATGTAAATACTCAGAAAAGGCCACTGATTGTTTTTTGTTTCTTACCGCTCAAGGTCGCCCTGGGTGAAGATGCTGATGATGAGACCCATGTGGTGGCTGTTGAATCAAGAAATATGGCCAGTGTTCCTGAGCCAGTACCGATTGTATCGTTGAAACATTCTGTCTTACCAATGGTAATGCACAGAGGCATGCAATGGGGGGGGGTGTTGTCTTATGCTATTTCTAATTTGTATTAAATAACCGATGCTATTTTAATTTATATCTGTGCATGCTTTACAAATGGTTCAGAAGTCTTCCTAACTAACAAATTGGACATGCCTGAGAGAGGTAATTTCCTAGGTATTCATATCTTAAAGTGCATTAGGAAGCTATCGACTAGGCAACATCTGATATAAAATTATTTGGATATGTCCTAGCTAATAATGTAGAGGAGTTGAATAGAGCAGAGCAGGGCAGGGCAGGGCAGGGCAGAACAGGGCAGAACAGAACAGAACACTTTATTGACCAAGTGTAATTGGACACCAAAGGAATTTGTCTCCAGTGCAGAAATTCTCAGTGTACATGCAAACATACAATATATTCATCCTACATGTATTGTAGGAGAATGAGAAGAGCAGCATTCTGAAACACGGCATCTGTTTTTTTAAAAAATATATTACAGGTTTGTCTTGAAGGCATTGAATTACTTCCCCCAGTTTCTTTTATCCTAAAATCAGGAATGGGTCCAGTATATCTCAACGGGCAGCACCTGATCTGTAAGTAGAAGCCATGGCTCTTAAATGCATGCATGAAAAGCAACTGGGAAGTAATGAGTAGATAATTAGACCAGGAGATGTGACCTGGAGTTGTATATAGAAATTCATTTGCCAAACCATCATGAGCTGTAGATAAATGAATCTATATACCTAGATAACAACCAGGAATTAATGGGGGGGTTTATTTCATGTAAAAAATATACAATATATGGGGAAAATATGTTTGTTTCTTCGGAAAGTATATGTAGCAGCAGCTAAAACACCATGCAATTCTTGCTATCAATGAATTATTGTTAAATGTAACATTGGCAGTAGCTCCATACTGCCTCCAGATACCAATAAAGGAATGGATTGGGAAATCAAAGTGTGATTGACATCATTGATATATGAATCTATGATGGCTTTTTAAAATCATACATATCAACCTTCCCCAACCTGAGTGATGCTCCTCAAGTGGAACAATCCATCATCACAAGAAAGTTATTATTCATGTTTTAGTCTAGACAAAAAAAAAAGGCTGGTAAGTATTCTATCAAGGGTTATTAACTGTAATTGTGTCGTGAAATATCACTATCTAGATGTTTGTTTTCTTATTTTAGAAAGAAAGCAGAGGTTTTCTTGGGGGGGGGGTGAGGGAAGAGAAGATTATCAGTTGAAGTGACAGGCAAGAGAAGAGGTGTCTAATCTTTTCCAAAGTTTGGGCTTTTTCAATTTTTTTTAAAAAAAACCTCTTTGTAAACTGCTTCTTCACCTTAACTGCCACAGACAAATAGAGGCGTGCTGAATTGATGAGTATGAAAGAATGATTAAAAATCCCCTATGTGGTCTAATTTCTTCAGCTAACTTTGATTTTTTTTTAAAGAGAGAGAAAAATGGAAAATGGAAAAATCATTATTTAATTTACTTTCTTGCAGGCATCTGTTGCTTTTTTTCTCTCTCCCTTCTTCAGGGAAGTGTAATATTTTATTCTTTATCCTGTTTACAAACCACTTTTAAACTTCCTATTGAAAGCAGTGCATAGCTAAACCAATAATCAAAAAGGTATTGAAACTTAATGTCTTTTATGGCTAAGGAAAATGACCTACATGCTCAGATTTTTAGTTATTAAATGTTAACAGCTGTACAAACTGTAATATTTAAAAGAATGAAAAAAATTAACAATTTTACAAGCAATACCCACATATCATACCATCCAGAAATCAATCTTTTTTCTCTTCCTCAACTGGTTTCAATTTATATGTTAATTTTTCCAACTTTACTTAGATCTCCATTTTAAGTACTCCATGATTTTGTTCTTATTGACTAATAATAAAAACATTAACAGCACCTTTGCACATTGGTATAAAAGAACAAGTTAGGTATATTTATACACTTATCTATAAAACAAAACAAAGTACTCTTGCATTTTTTAATCTGAATTTTTTAGTCTATTCAAAGAAGGTTAAAATATAAAATACCAAAATATTTTTTAAAAGAAAAAAAAAGACATACTATAAAGAAGACATTAAAAAAGTGTATTAAAAAGGAAAAAAAGACTAACACTCTTGCATTTTTATATATGGATTTACTGTAATATTTGGTCAACCGGAAATGTTGCTAGGTAAAGACAGACCGTGTATTAAAAATATAATGAAAAGAATTAAAACAATATTGAAGCTATTATTGAGAGATCCTGCTGTGCAAATAAAACCAAGAGTGGATTGAAAGGCATCCTAAACAATCCTTAAGATATGAGTCCAAAATAAATAGTTTAAAATTCAATTCGTGAAGCTTGATAGTCTTACACAGATTTATTCTTGGGCTTCAGTGTCTAATGTCTGAGGCTACTCCTATGAAGCAGAACCCAACGAAACATCCAATCAGAGTAATTTGGCCAATGACTACAAGCTCTGACCCATGTCTAGAAGTTGTAGGTGCTCCAACACTGGAGGTTTCTAAGAAGAGATTGGACAACCATTTATTAGGGGCCTGGAGGCTAAACCATATGCAGAACGGTTGCAGGAATTGGGTAAGTCTAGTCTAGTGAAAAGAAGGAATAGGGCTGACATGATAGCAGTGTTCCAATATTTGAGGGGCTGCCACAAAGAAGAGGAGGGTCAGCCTATTTTCCAAAGCACCAGGAGGCAAGACAAGAAACAATGGAAACTAATCAAGGAGAGAAGCAACCTGGAATTAAGGAGAAACTTTCTGACAGTGAGAACAATTAACCAGTGGAATGGCTTGCCTTCAGAAATTGTGGGTGCTCCATCACTTTTAAGAAGCGACTGGACAGCCACTTGTCTGGAATGGGATAGGGTCTCCTGCTTGAGCAAGGGGTTGGACTAGAAGACCTCCAAGGTCCCTTCCAGCAATGTTCTTCTGTTATTCTCTGCTTTCCATCCAGCATTGAAAAAAAAAAAGCAGCTTTTGCTGCCTTTGTGACATCACCTGCTGCTCTGGCTTCCATTCTGTTCTTCCTCCCTATGGATTCATTTTAACTGTCACAGAACTCTTGTTGGTGCTGAGGACAGTGGCTGAGCTAACAGGGGGGGATCAGAGGAGGATTTACCAGCTGCCTCCTTCAGCGCACCACTAGGCAAGCTTCTTCCAGACGTCTCTTGCTGGTGGTCCAAAGCTTTATTTGGGGTTCTAAGGGAAAGGAGGTGATGCTCTTCAAAGGGGCCCAGTGGTGGTGGATTTTATGTTTAGTACTGCCTTGCAATTCTTTCCTGCAAGTGGAGGATGACTCCGACTACGAGCCGACGGATGATGAAATTCCAGATGATGCTGATGTTGATGACAACAGCTTTGATGACGAAGAAGAACTACCAAGTCCGGAGATGCCAGCTGTGAGTTTGGTCAATTTTATGGATGATGGGTTTTTTCCCCCCATAGCTGGGGGTGGGTAGATGGATAACGTTTCTTACTTTTCCAGACTTTTCTACCACCTTAAAAAAAAAAAGAAAATCTAAACTCTTATCAGCCTGTATTATTCCCAGTCCAGAGTGATGTACGGGTAGTCCTTGACTTACAACAGTTCATTTAGTGACCGTTCAAAGTTACAATCGCACGGAAAAAAGGGGTTTAGGACCATTTTTCACTCTTATGACCTTTCCAGCATCCCCATGGTCACGTGATCAAAATTCAGATGCTTGGCAACTGATTCATACTTATGACTATTGCTGAGTCCCAAGGTCACGTGATCCCCTTTTGCAAACTTTTGACAAGCGAAATCAACGGGGAAGCCAAATTCACTTAACAACCGAGTTACTAACTTATCAACTGCCGTGTTTCACTTAACAACTGAAGCAAGAAAGGTTGTAAATTGGGGCAAAACCCACTGAACAAATGTCTCACTTAACAACAGAAATTTTAGGCTCAATTGTGGTCTTAAGTGGAGGATTACCTGTTTTTAAGATAGGCGGCTATATATGCATTTTTTAAAATAAATAAATCCTATTCCTTTGATATCTTAATGACTGCCTCCTGATGCTTGCAATTGCTTAACTGCTCTCCATCTGCATAAAGGACTCATCGCCGCCATCTCTCTAATTGGCCTTAGGGTGCTATTTAGTTCAGCATAGTAAACCATAAGGATATCATTGCAAACGGCAAGACAGGGCATCTTACATACTGATTGCTAATCAGGAGACAGAAAAAGTGCATGTAATTCCCCATATGCTAGTTGAAAGGAAAAGACAGAAGTTAGCGTAGCATAGAATATACAATATGGTGGCCATAGCCAGGCTCCCTATTTCTTCTGGCTTTAGGTTTTTGCTTAAAAATATGTTTTGGGTTAAAAACAATAGCGAATTCTCAGTAGCTTGCTGAGAAATAATAAATCGGTATTCAGCATCCTCTTTATTTCTAAAAAGGTCTTTAGATGTTGTGTGGGTTCCATAGGCTTTCTTAATAAATAAAGCTGGGGGTGGTTTTCAAGACCATTGCCAAAAAGCGTTCCTTTGCTTAAGGAAAAAAAACTAAGAAGGGTAGTAGATTTGGTCCCACTGGTTTAGCAGAATGCAACTGGGGGAGATAGGGACAATTGAATATAAACATGGATAAGCCATGTTCAGCATAGAAATGATTCTATGACCAAGGAAACAAATTTTCAAGATTAGTTTCAGATTTTCCTCTGGTAGAGCATGCTTTTTCCTTTGCTGTCTTCTTTGAGATGGAAAATGGATGTTCTTCTGTGTACAGACCATGAAGTTCCATTTGGATATAGGTAACATCCTAACTGAGACTCCAGCTTGATGTAGTATTAAGGCCTCAGGCTAGAATCTGGGAGACTGAGAGTTCTAGTCCTGCTTTATTTATTTTCATACTGCCTATATTATTTTTATCAATAATTCAAGGCACCAAACATGCCTAATTCTCCATCCTCCTCCTATTTTCTCCACAAGAACCCTGTAATGTGGGTTGTGTGAGTGACCTTTGGGTTTCTTCTCCACAGAAAGAGACATCGAATCAAATTTCCTAACTGCATCTGAAGGAGACCTGCCAAAGAATCGAGTTTGGATTGGTTCCTGCCAATGGATTATTCTAAAGAAGCCTGATTAAAAATGTATTGCAGTAAAAGCTGTTGTTTGCTTGTGGGTCTACCACAGTCTCCTTTTTGGATGGGTGGTTGGGAAAGGGAGATGCTAAAATTGTCACCAATGACCTGGGGTTTTTTTTTTTTTTAATAGTGTGACTCAAGCATATGTTATTTATCAGATTCAAGCAAGCATGCTGTGGAACTGGGTAACACTTTTCATTGTCCACATTCATGGACAATGGTGGTCATCATCAAGGTTGTGATGGGATAGAGGTCTAGGATCTCACTTGGCAAAATGGGTTGGACAGTCCTAATTGCAGCAGGACATGCTCAAGCTACAGATGATCAACCTATGTTATTTTAGATTATCTTCTGAGCGAATTGAAGGAAAACGTTTATAACTGAAATAAAAGGTGTCTTTAAAAAAAAATAAGTCCATGATTATATCCTTGTCAATTGCCAATGCTCCTCCTGTGCTATTGGTCTGAACAGATCCTAAGCACAGATCTAATATTTGGATAGGATATACTATATGATATAAGTTAAGTAAAGTTGCTACATTCTCAAGCATGGCTCCTAAACTCCAGTTGTCCAGCTCATGCAACTGGACCACACAGATTTTAGCAAGGTATCTTTAATGCTAGTTAGAGGTTAATACACAATGTTGGAAACTGCCAGAGAAAACTTGCTTGCTTGCTTGCTTGCTTGCTTGCTTCCTTCCTTCCTGCCTGCCTGCCTGCCTGCCTGCCTGCCTGCCTGCCTGCCTGCCTCCTTCCTTCCTTCCTTCCTTCCTTCCTTCCTTCCTTCCTTCCTTCCTTCCTTCCTTCCTTCCTTCCTTCCTTCCTTCCCTCCTCATCTCTTCTTGGAATGAGTTGAAATACTTCTTCCCATGATTCTATGCCAATAGGACCAAAGTGCCATTTAGGAGAAAACGTATCAATTTGTCTGCTACCTATTCATTGTTTGTCTATTCTTCTTCATCATTTCTCATCCAAAGCTAGGTTTATCCCAGGAATGCACAACCTGAGATTCTATAGGTAATTAAAAATGGTAATTAAACATCTTTCATTAGATCAAAAGGAATTTTCCCCCTTTTATTGATCCTAGCAGATTAAGAACCTTGTGGGATTAAAAGCCTAAAGTTCTGTTCCCACGTAACCTATTAAATACTTCTAAAAGCACATCTTTAATTTTGGCATATTCCAGAGATTGGCATTTAACTGGGTGCTGGCCACTTGATCATGGAGGCAAGAAACTGACATTTGTCCAATAAAAACTGTTAGTTTCATTATGAACAAATTATTAATTCCCATCTAACATTAAATCCATCTGCATTAGTAATATATTATGAACAGCATGTTGGTTTAAAACAGAAGAATTCTGAAAGTCCAATCTAATGTAGTCCAATCTATATTTTCATTGTGGTAGGGCGGTGATGGCGAACCTTTTAGAGACTGAGTGCCCAAACTGCAACCCAAAACCCACTTATGCATCGTCAAGTGCCGGGTGGATGTGTCCCATTGGCTGGGTGTGTCCCATTGGCTGGGTGTGGCCAATTGGATGGGCATTGCCAATTGGGTGGGCGTGGCTGCAGTGGTAACGGCAGACTGGGTGGGACTAAAAAGTTCAATCAATTCCAACTTTGCAAGATCTTTTTTTTTCCACGAGAAGTTGAAATTGACTGATTGATTGAACTTTTTTTTTTTTTTTTTGCACACGGCGGAGGCCTAAAGCAAAAAGGTTTTATAAAACCCAGCTGAAGGCCTAGGATTGGGGCGATGGCACGCGTGCCCACAGAGAAAGCTCTGAGTGCCGCCTCTGGCACCCGTGCCATAGGTTCGCCACCACTGTGGTAGGATGTCTGTAGCTTCATTTCTGCTTGCCAATGCTTTGGCTAGGGAATCACTTGAATTTGTCTTTCAAAATATGTCTTTCAAAAATGTGGAAGCTTCTCTGTCATTGGCTAATTATAAGCTTCTCATAAGCAGAGTGCTGGGTAGATATGATTTGGATTCCTCTTCCTCTAAGCATTTGGATCCAGCAGCTTTGAGAGTTTGTGATGTTGTAATCCCAGTCGCTTGTTAATGTGTCAGTTCTGAGAAGGTCATCAAAGGAGATGGAGCTTAAAGATGGTACTAAGGGATAATCCATGTCTTCCAAAGTATATGGGTTGGGCTCATACCAGCTTCTGTACCAAAAAGCAATTAAACCATGTGATGGTTGAACACAATTTGTGAACAAGGCATTGTTTTAAATCTAAAGCTAGTGCTTTGACATATGTGGAGCCAGGAGTATATACATGGTCTCTGGCATTGCCAGTCAGCCTTTTGGTACAAATGAATAAGTATATGTCCATTTTTGCAGGATAACATGACTGATAGCCATCTGATGCTGCTTCATCCTTCACTTAGTTCAGAATGTTGAAAGGCAAATATATTTGGTTTCCCAGGAAACGGTTGCCTTAGGAACTCTGCAAGCTATACTAGAACTTGATGGACCAGTTTTTCAACAGAACAATAGTCTGTCTGAAAAATCATCTTAGCCTTAGCTGAAGTGTGCTATGACAACTCTTTCTGTCTTCTTGGATGTTCCCTTGGCTACGGCAGTAGATTTTCCCTTAGATGTCTACAGGGAAGATCCCTCACCCCAAAAAGTGTGCCTTGGACATGCAGGTAAAACTAATTCTTTTTCAGACACGAATAGCCCTGTTTACATTGCATGCCAACTTGAAAGAAATCTCCATTGACAAACATGTATATGCTGCCCTCTTAGATACTGCAGTAACTGAGGTTTGTGGTTTACTGTATTGTCCAAATCTGAAGCAGCCCTATTTTGATTCTCTGATGTGGGAGATCAGGAGATAATAGTTCTGCCTTAGGCATAAAGCCAGCTGGGTGACCTTGAAAAAGTCACTTTCAGCCTTAGGAAGAAGAAGGTAAGAGCAAACCACTTCCAAAAAGTCTTGCCAAAAAACCTGCAGGAATTTGTTGAGAGAATTCCCAAGGCCCAGTATTGAGTAACACGTATCAGGATTTGTAATCCACAACAAGCTTTGATGGTAAGATTGGGTTTCCTGTGAGAAGAATTAATCAGGAGTGGTTTGCCTAAAGAAGCTGTAGGTATTCCATCACTGGAGGTTTTCAAGAAGAGATTGGACAACCATTTGTCTGAAATGGTATAGGGTATCCTGCTCAAGCAAAGGGTTAGACAAGAACAGGGGTAGGCAACCTTGGCTCTTCTGGGAGTTGAAGTCCACGAGTCATAAAAGAGCCAAGGTTGCCTAGAAGAACTCCAAGGTTCCTTCCAACCCTCTTATTTTATGTTCTATGTTCTATTTCAGATATTTTTTTTTAATCTCTAAACCAGACATGTCAAACACAAGGCCCGGGGGCTGGATGCAGCCCACAAAGTGGTTTCATGTGGCCCACGATGCCATCCTGGAAACAGTGAGGGAACGGCCCCCTCTGCCTTGGCCCTGGCCAGCCGGGAGCCAATGTACAATTTTGTGGTGGCCCTCTATGCTGAAACGCATTCAGCTCCATAAGCCCCCCCCCGCATGGCCTGAGAGGAACAGTGAGGCTCCTCCAGTGGACTATGCCTCGCCACTTGCCCTGGTCCCACCCCCTTCTGCCAGAGACCCTCAGATCTATCCCACTCCTGCCCAGGCAACCACAGGCATCCTTGACGCGAACGATGTAGAGCTGGCCACACCCACCCTAGGCCACACCCCTCCATCCATGCCCACCCAGTAGGCCACACCTACCCTGGCCACACCCACCCGACCCCCTGAGGGCAACCACAATGCTGATGCAGCCCTCAATGAAATTGAGTTTGACGCCCCTGCTCTAAACAGTACAGTCCCCCCACAAGTTGGAGTATTTCCCTGGGAAATCTTATGAGAATGGCAGTCTTTCAGAATCACGATGAGTATCCAACAAATGTTTAGCCTTTAGGATAGAACAGAAGGTATGAAGGCATGGGGACAGTGTTGTACTTCAGTGTCTGCAATAGACATCTTCACATCCAATGAAGAACATCGTATAGAACCAACATAGAAAACAGCAGATAAAATGAAAAAATACGAAGTACTAACTGAAATAGCAAAATGAGAATTTCAACCAGTAAAGACTATAACCTAGGTACTGAATAGATATCTGTGGGAAGGTCATTCAACTGAAAAAGCCCGTTTTGTGATCACATGAGATTAATATATATTTTTGACTTGCTGAAAACTGGTGTTTACTTCTGCAAAATGGTTGTAAAATCAGGCACGGTCACAGGGGGACCTCCTTAATGGCCAGCACTCCTCACAACCACAATTCTGGGTTCAGTTATGGTTATAAGTCAAGGACTGCCTGTATTCAGAGTCTGGTTAGGTGGATTCAGTCCAGTTTCCCTTAAGCTCTCAGAGAGATACAGATATTAATATCATATCATATATGCAGGGTTTTGGATGACATCCAGACTTGAAGGGGGAGAGTTCTCTATTTTTACACCGTGTAAATCCTGTGTGGCATTTCCAGCTAGTGACCATCAGGAGGCACCCACACTACCATTGTCATCCTTGTTATGAATCTTTAGATGCAAGGAGCCAGATGTTATTCTATGGAGTAGCCATGAGCCTTAGTATAAAAATAACAGTGTGTTGACAGTTTTCATCCCTAAAGCATTGGCAGTTATGTCTTAGTTATGTTGCTTCCCCTAGGATGCCACACTGATAATGCTGATGAAATCTGGATCCCACCAGTTGTAAAAAAAATTCTGTGGCAAATCCCTCAAGATCCCACTCTGGATCATGAATACATCAGAGAACTGGGCATCGTGGAGTTCACCAAAACAGCCATGGAACTGGTCATTGGCAAGAACAATCAGGCTGTCTTAGACAACAGGGTATGTGGATATTTATATGAGTATGGCCCTATGCCAGTGATGGCGAACCTTTTAGAGACCAAGTGCCCAAACTGCAACCCAAAACCCACTTATGCATCATTGAGTGCCGGGTGGCTATGGCCCATTGAGTGGGCGTGGCCCATTGGGTGGGCGTGGCTGCAGTGGTAATGGCAGACGGGGTGGGACTAAAAAGTTCAATCAATCAATATTCAATCAATCAAGATCTTTTTTTCCCACGAGAAGTTGAAATTGACTGATTGATTGAACCTTTTTTTTTGTGTACATGGTGACGGAGACCTAAAGCGAAAAGGTTTTATAAAACCCAGCTGAAGGCCTAGGACTGGGGCGACGGCGCGCATGCCCACAGAGAGGGCGCTGAGTGCCGCCTCTGGCACCCGTGCCATAGGTTTGCCACCACTGCCCTATGCTTAGGAGATAG